ACTCGCTCGCAAGCTTCGCTCGTGCTTAATTAAACTCGTAACTAAAATGGCGTTTATAAAACTTGATACATAATATACTATTTTCCCTCGTCCAAAATTTAAAAATATTTTTGCCCTCCTTTTTTTGTATTTTGAGTCAAATTTTTGGCCAAAAGCGCACATCAGCGTCAAAAATTGTTTTTAAGTTGAATAAATAAAATTAAAAAAAACTAAAAACACGGTTTAACGCACTAAAAAGTATAATAGTATATTATGTATCAAGTTTGATAAACGCCATTTATACACGAATTTAATTTAGGCACGAGCGAGCTTGCGAGCGAGTTCTTAAGTTAATAAGTGTATAGAAAAGTTTATAAACGAGGTGCATACTATACTTTTTTTACGACAAATACTTATTATTATCTTAAAATGATTTAAATCAAAAATTTGTACATAGCGCCATCTATGAAACAACAGGGGAAACTGTCAAATGTCACATTTTTACATTTTATAAACACAGGTTATAAATCGAAATATATCTTGAAAATTTACAGTTTTTCACAGTGAAAGTAAAGGAAATGTTTTATGAGGACTTTACAGTAGAGTCCGTGCCCGAATTTAAGTTATAGTTTACTGCCGGCGAAATTAAAAGGTCAGTACAATGTATAAACGTTTCAAATATCGGCGTTGAGAAACTATTTAATAATTTTGTATTTTTGTATTGAGATAATAAAATAATTTTCACATTTAGTATTATTTTACAAGAAAGGCACTTTATTTTAACGATGACATTTGACAACTGTCAACTAACTTAAAACTAACTTCAGCCCGTGACTAAAATCCTGTTGCTAACTTCAGCCCGTGACTAAAGCGCCGTAAAGCCAGTGGCTTTAAGCCACAACTTGTCAATGTGTATTTAAAAGGTCACTTAGTGTCATAAGAACATGTACGATAAAGGGCGTTTTAAAGGTGGGAGTAAAAAAAATATTTTGTGATATTAATAAACTTGTCACTTCAAAATTTTCAATGACTTACAAAAAAAATAATTTTGACAAACGCCCCACGTTTATGGAAAAGTTATTAAAGACCAGTTTATTAATAGCTTAAAGCGTGTTTTTAGTTAATTTAAACTATTTTTTTTTACTTTTTAGCCCTAAATAATTTAAAATTAGAATTACGTCACGTATTCTCTTGACACACCTTTCATTTGATACCCATTTTAAGGAGGTTGTGAAGAAATAGGTAACATAGTTACAAGTAGCGGAAGCGGAATCCGCACGGTTGCCAAGCTTCATATAACTTATGAATATAAAAAGAAATGTATAAAATTAAATATTAATAAGATGTTATAAAGATAAAAATATTTGGCACTACCTACGAGCCACCACTGCTGGCATCATTACTGTTTCTGTGTTCTAGCAAAAATTCGTGAAGGTATTACCGCAAACGGCTTTGAACTTGTTGGTAGCACTGGGCAGGGCCGAAATTATCTAAAAGCAAAATAAGCAATTGCTCAGGGCAGGGTCGCCAAGAGAGGTGCAAAAGGGGCACATTGCCCCAGGCCTCCAACGTCAGTGGGCCCCTGGTTTAAAAATATTTCAAAAATATAAAACAATGAATATATTGATTTAACACTCAATTTACTTTTTTTCAATAATGCATTAGTTTAAAAAAATTTCTATGAAACTCACAATAACTTGATATAATAACTGAGTTCTCCGAAAGGAAAAATAATTAAGTGAAATATAAATTGGAATCCAATTTCATAATCAGTTTCAACCCTTTAAAACTTAATGTACTGTAATTTTAAAATAAAGAATATGGTACTTTTATAAATTAAATCAAGCTTCAAGGTCATAAAAGCATATGGCTTAAGAGTTTCCTTTCATTTTTTAATATAGGAACAATTATTTTCATTAATTTCTAATATTATTATTTATTACTAGAGCCCGTATCTCAAGGCATTATCGTTTAAATTACAAGCAAATAAATGTTAATTAAACAAATAAATAAATTATACAAACATTTTTTGTTTGCCTTTTATTTATTTTGCATTTTTAATCATTTTTAAAGTTTATTTTATGCATTTTCTCAAAAAATTATGATTATTTAAGTTATTTAAGGTTTATAATCCGGGCTCTATTTATTACTACTGTCTACGTGTACTATATTATTTTAATTTTTTTAGTAATAATTATTGTGTGAAAAAAGTGACCCTTCCTTACTCCCCTCCCCCAACATTTAGCTTCAAGAATTAATTTTGCCCCAGGGACCTTATACCCTCTCGGCGGCCCTGGCTCGCAATTACAATTAGTAACAGGGATGCAGGGGGGGCTAAGGGGCTCAAGACTCCCCTGGAATGTGACTACCTCGCATGTTTTGTGTGCTTTTATTAAGAATAAAGAATAAAATGTTAAATACTTAATCATTTTCAATAATATTCAATGGTATTGGCACAGGATAGGTAAGTTGGGTTAAACTATTCTTAAATTGAGGGCCCCTCCTCTGGCGTTTGCTTAAGGCCCCTAAAAATATAAATCCGGCTACAGGAAACGACTGGTTTTGAAACAATCATAAAAACTGTAATGTTTGCTCTAAAAAAATTTAATTGCTAGAATAATATTCGTTGGGACATAGGAAGCTCACCATACACTATATGCGAAGAATGAAATCTGACATGATGGCATAAGTATAAAACTGTAATTCTTGTTCTAAATAAAATTATTGCCAGAATATTTCCCAGCCGCCTTAATTCTTGATTAGGTGCCCCCCTACCTAAAATTTAGGCTCTACTGATCAGTTACGTATAAGTATAGTATACTGACGAGGTACTAACTAGTAACTAGTTACTGACTACTAGAAATTTTGAAGATTTTGTAAATTTTAAAAATGATAAAATTTAGAAAATGTTACCACCTTATCATTTTCCACTTGTCAAAGCCTTTCAATTGATACCTATTTCAAAGAGGTTGTGAAAAAATAGGCATCTTTCTCTAACTTATGCACAGCCACTTCAATAAATAAAGTAACCTCTGCGACTTCATGCTCTCCTAATACTTAAAACCGTTTAAAACCCATGTTTAAAACCTATCTTTGATGTTTATTTATTTTTACAGGAACAAATCGACATTACTTACCTCTGCAACTTCAAGCTCTCCTGAACTTAAAAGCGTTTAATATTGTTCGTGACATATTACCTTAACGCTTTAATTTTACTTTAGAAAATTAAGATGTTTAATAAAAATGCCTATTATACAACTACAACTAGTAATAATATTACATAGAAAAAATTGTTTTTATTTACCCTGCAGTTTCCCATATTTACGGTAGTCTTTTAAAAATATGATTTATAATATTTTACAATGTTTACACGTTTAATAGTGTTTGTTTAAAAAAATTTTTTTGAGAATACTCAAGTTTTTTATTTTGGATTTAATGGATTATAATACATTATTTTACTGAACCTACCTAAAAAACGTTAAAAAGTCACACACATTTAATTAAAAAACGTTAGAATAACATTTACAAAATACTAAATATTTTAAGTGGGCCATGATTAATCAGTGTCCTTAATCAATCACCAAACAAGACAAAACTATTTGGGCCAATTAGGCGTTTCCGCTTCCGTTCAATCCAACGTACAATCGGCATTTTCCTTAATAGTACGTTAATAATACATTTCAACGTATTTTTTATGCCCTTATTATTAAATCTGATTAAATTATGCCAACAATGAAGTTATTATACCAATTTGTATGTACAAGATTCCATTGCATTTTTAATCAAGTAAAGAATGTTATTCATTAAAAAAATCAGTGGTTGTATCGTCCATGTGGTTTTTCATTTTATGCTATGTTAATGTCGACAATACCAAGAAATATTTTTTACTGCATAAAAAGATACATTTAATTCATTATGGTTCTTTGTGTGGGAATTTTCATTTTTTTTTAAATTAAACTTTCTCAAAAAACTTAACTTAACATCTTGAATTTGGGTTAAGATTTATCACATTTTTCAGAATATTGATAGTTGATAGTGCAACTCGATTTTAGGTCATGTGATATATCATAAAAAGGTCTCTAATAGGCCTTTAAAATAAGCCTCACCTTTCTACTTTTAATACTTAATATTTACGAGATATCGCTATTTTTGTAAGTACTTGCAAGACCCAAATTTATCGGAATTTTTTGATTTTCAAAAATTAATAAAACAAAAACCACCTATCGAAAAAAATTCATATATGGGATTTTTGAGTTTTTTAGTGAGGTAAACAAATTTACCAAAAATTATCAAAATCGGAGATGGTGGGGGAAGAACCTTTGGTTGATTTGATATGCACTGACCCATACTTTACAAATTATCTCTAAAACAAATCATTTTATCAAAATTTTATAAGAAACAATTTTTTTTTAACAATAAATGATTACCTGAAAAAATACCGTTTGGAAGTCATTGGCGCACGTACTAAAAAATAGGGGGAGTCAGTGAGTACTGGACCCCCCCATTTTGATTATTTGACAATTGTTTTTTGTTTTGTTGGTCTCAAAAAATTTAACTATTTATGTTGAAGTAGTGTACCGAATTTGAACTTAATACCTTATCAATTACTCGAATTATTAAAAAAAATCAGTTTTAAATTTCAAACTTTGTCGCCCTGTATATCGAACATGAAGCTCTAAATTGAAAAATGGTATTATGAAAGTCTTATTGTTTTAACTCAAGGAATATATGGTTAACGGATTGACCTCTTTTTCCCGGACACCCTGTATACCTACTAGTTCTTTTCAACCTTAGTGCAGACATCAAACCGGTATGGAAACCATTGTGGCGTAAGAGTAAACAGTTCCGGTTCAATAAATACAAGCAGAATAAATATTTTACCATTATCACCTGAGGTCGATTGGAGACCACTATTCGAAACTTAGTGAAATCAATAAATCAAAACTAATAAGGTATTTGTTTGTGTAAGGAAATAATAAAATGAAACACATAACATTAACAAAAAGAAGCTTTATTTGATGGCTTCTTATATACTTTTATGTTAATTTTTACAACAAATTTACATGTCTATATTATTAAATCTGTTTTATGTAACATCAACGTTGCGCCGGTGTATTGTGACATCACAAAATCGATTTGCAATTTTATTTAATAAGTGTATATTATAGACACCGATGCAAAGTGGCTTTACAAAATATATTAATATATAAAAATTATATTTTGAGATCATAATCTAATACATCACAGATGTTATAAATATATATTTTGGACGAGGCAGGCCAAAAAGATTTTGGTGTTTTTGGGCTGCCCCGTGTTTTCCATCTCAAAATCTTTATTTTTTAAAAGCAATCGAGATTTTAAGCAAACCGGACACAAATTCTGTTTGTCATTAAAAAACTATGCCTAAAATAAATGCGCGAAATTCATTAAAAATTTCTCTAGTGTGTGACAAACAATACTTATAAATTATAGGGCGCAAAATTAAAAAAATATACAATAAATAATTTCGGAAAAATTTTGTACACTCGTCTTTGGGCTGTAATTTTATACTGCGTTAAAATCGTTGAAGAATCAGCATCAATCTGTTTAGAATACTTCCACCACTGTTTTTTAAACTTATTATACAGGGTTTCCCAAATTTATTGCAAACACCCTGTATAAATAAATATATATCATTATATTTGTACCCAAGTATCACATGAATTATAATTTTTCGAATAAATTTACAACCAAAAAAATTACAAAAGAAATTGGCTTTTCCATGGATGGGAATTTTTAAATTGAGAACTCGTTAAAAACTGCCGTTAGACTTTTTAAAGTGATGTGCACCTAAGGCAGCTAAATTGCACATTGTACGTCCTACGATTCTTTAATTTGAGGTTTTTTGGCAAAAACAGTCAAACGAAAAAATCTAGATTCAAAAATCCCAATCCATTTATAATTTTAAAAAATTAACCCGAACAAAAAAGATTTTAGAGATCAAATGAATTAAATAAATACATATAGTACACAATAGTACTTACTCTGTACAAAAAAACTTACAATTAATAAAAAACTTTATGAAACAAAACTTAAAATTGTACTTTACATAAAATAATAACCTTTTTATTTCATCGAGATCGACAATTTGTAGCGTGTGGAAGGTATTTTTCTGGGAAGGAGGGGGTTTAACTCGTTCCCTGATTGGTCAGCTTTATTAATTTCGACGGACGATCCCAATCTGACGATTTTTTCGATTCTGTACTGATCTGTCGTTTTACACACATGTAATCTGAAATAAACGAAAACAAAATCATTAAAAGGGCGCGGACAATCAAAACAATCGTTTAATTTGCAAAAAATAACCGTCAACCTCAAATTAAAAACAGTAAACACCGAAATTAACTTTTCAACGTCCCCTCATTGTCCTCTTGACAATGGTTAATTGTTTTGGTGGCAAATAGAAATATCTTCTCACGTTAACCATGCGACCCGTTTAGATTTTTTTAGTCCACATCCGGGTTAGCAATTAATAATAAACCGAAAACGCCTTTTTTCCACACTATAAAGGGGGACATTGACATTACTACGTATAGTAAAACATATGTTTAAAACATTACTACGCAGTATGAAGAATAAGAAAGTAACTTAAAACTACAATAACAAACTCCTTCACATGTTGTCCAAAAAAAATAAACGAAATCGTGTAAATACGTTAAGTTTTGTGCACGTGTATACGTCTTTTGTTAAAAACAACCTGCCTTTCGCACGTCTTTAACAATAGACCTAGAGAAAATATGTTTAGGGGTGAGCGACCCTTAAATTGCGATATTCCAAACGACTTCAATAATAAACATGTCACTGTGTTATCTTTATAAAAACTATGATAAACGACTTTAATTAATAAAAATCACAAAACTAGACATAACTAGATAAAAAGCATTGCCAATTAGTCGATTAAGTGGACAAACAAATTTTGGCGCCAATTTTATTATACTACAATTTTACTACGTTGTTTATCGTGGAGGTTTTTATTTTATCGAATTCTGTGACGCAAATATTATTTTTAAACGGAAATTTGCCTTAATAGGAAACCGGCAAAAATCATATTAGTATAATCGCCATCATTTTTTTATATTTGCATAACAACTAGATGACGGATGTTTAAAATCTACGCACAAATATACAGTTTCAATGATGTTGAGATGACTGTGCCCATATTATTACAACCTTTTGTATGCAAATTAGGAAAAAATGTTAGGGGAGGACAAACCACATAATATGTATTGTAGTTATAGTAGGTTTGAATGCAAAAAATCCGTTATTAACTTAAAGAATTGTGCAATTTTTTTAGATACCGATGTCGATGCTTATTTGAAGAAGTCGGGATTTTAGACAACATAGAATGATGCCACTAGCCTCATTGTACAGGGTGATCCCCTATAATGTCGCCCCTTTTAACTTTTTTATTTTAAGTGTCCCAAAAAATTTAAAAGTGTGGTTATGTAGGTACTAAAAATTACTATTTTTCTACTTATAAAATTGGAAAATTGTTCATTATACAGGAAAAAACAAAAAGTTTATTTTTTTTTCAATGGATCACGCTATATATGTATTTATTTTTCTATTCCTTGTAAAATTCTAAGCATATTTCATATAACATACCATATACCTAAATTCAACTGTTTCTCAAATATTTAAATTATTTTTAAGATAATAAGTTGAAATAGTTGGCCTTTCTCTGTCTGAGTACGCCATTTTTACTTATTTAAGAAGACATATTGACTTAATGTCACTATAGTAATTTATTTTCAATAAAAATTTTGGCATACTGAGGCTTCTTGATTTCTAACAGTTTAAAAAAACATTTAATAATAACATTTCGAATGCGAATATTTCAGAAACGGTTGAATTTATTAGGTATATGGTTTGTTATATGAATTATTCTCAGAATTTTACAAGGAATCGAAAGATAAATTTATATGAAAAAAAATAAACTTTTTGTTTTTCTCTGTTCTTTGATCAATTTTCAATTTTTTTTATTCGTATAAAAAAAGTATTTTTTAGTTCCTACATAACCACACTTTTAAATTTTTTGTGTCACTTAAAATAAAAAAGTTAAAGGGGGCGACATTATAGGGGATCACCCTGTACATGCTCTCTTGTATACTTTATGTTAAAAAAAATATACCATCCTTTAGTACTTTGGGTGAAACACATAGTTATAATACAAGATTCAATAATTTATTAACAATACCGATCCACCACACATCATTGTATCAAAAATATATCTTCTATACTGGAATAAAAGTGATAAACCACATGAAATAAAACGAATAAATTGTACAAAGAAATTCAAATGTCAACCAAAATAATTTTTTTAATAAATTGCTTTTATTCTGTATCTGAATATAACACAATAAGTGACAATAAGATATAATTACTGAATTAAATGCGTTTTAAAGTCACTTAAAATAAAAAAGTTAAAGGGGGCGACATTATAGGGGATCACCCTGTACATGCTCTCTTGTATACTTTATGTTAAAAAAAATATACCATCCTTTAGTACTTTGGGTGAAACACATAGTTATAATACAAGATTCAATAATTTATTAACAATACCGATCCACCACACATCATTGTATCAAAAATATATCTTCTATACTGGAATAAAAGTGATAAACCACATGAAATAAAACGAATAAATTGTACAAAGAAATTCAAATGTCAACCAAAATAATTTTTTTAATAAATTGCTTTTATTCTGTATCTGAATATAACACAATAAGTGACAATAAGATATAATTACTGAATTAAATGCGTTTTAAAGTCACTTAAAATAAAAAAGTTAAAGGGGGCGACATTATAGGGGATCACCCTGTACATGCTCTCTTGTATACTTTATGTTAAAAAAAATATACCATCCTTTAGTACTTTGGGTGAAACACATAGTTATAATACAAGATTCAATAATTTATTAACAATACCGATCCACCACACATCATTGTATCAAAAATATATCTTCTATACTGGAATAAAAGTGATAAACCACATGAAATAAAACGAATAAATTGTACAAAGAAATTCAAATGTCAACCAAAATAATTTTTTTAATAAATTGCTTTTATTCTGTATCTGAATATAACACAATAAGTGACAATAAGATATAATTACTGAATTAAATGCGTTTTAAAGGGACCTATTGGGTAGTTTGTATGTTGTTAGTTCATAATTCTGTGTATAATAATGATTGTAAACTTTTTATCTACCTACTTAATATTGACCTGTTCTATACATTTATATTGTCAAAAAGGATTAATAAACATTATTATTATTATTATTGACCTGTTATATACATTTATATTGTCAAAAAGGATTAATAAACATTATTATTATTATTATTTAATCTTGAATTTTTTTAAACAGTTGTTTCTAGGTAATAAAGATTAGTTTCTCCAATTTTTTTTTCTCAATTAACAGCTCTTCCCGAGGTCGTCTTAATCAATTGATGATAAACAAAATAAAAATCTTGTATAAAAATAGTTATTTATGTCATAAGGCTGAGAAGTGAGTCTTTTTGTGCTGAGCTCAAAGTTTGAGGGAAGCACAAAAATACACGTCTCAGCCACATTTTGTCTTCAAAGCGGAGTTTTATTTGTTAAACGATACATAAAGCGTACTTAAAATTATAATAACAATTATGAAAAGTATAAAGTGAGGTTAGATAGGTCAGAACCGTCAACAGTTTTTTTATTTTTTTTATTGGTTCTAACGGGATTTTTACAGACTATGATCTAAAAAACTTGACCTGATTAGTCTAAATTATTTTTACAGCCTAGGAGATAATCAAATACTTTGGTATTGAGCGTTGACAATAATAAAGCTTAAATAATAGAACGCTTGAAGATAAAATTCTTTACATTGTTCCAATACTTTCACGTTCTTTTTTACTTCTTAACATGTTAAAATAACATTGTCATTGTTTATATCATAAAAATTTAAACTAAATAATTAATAAGAAAATTACAAATGTGTTTGCAATAAAACACATTTTAACGTAAACCTAATGATTTTTAATAGTCAACGTTTTTTTTTTCGTTACAGTGGCAATTTTTACCTTTATCTTTTTAAAAAATAAGAGCGTTAACCTCATAATTATTTATTTATTTAATTTTATCATCGCAAGGTACCTGGAAAGTAAATGGTAAAATGCCAACAAAAAATGATTAATATATATTTTTTAGATTTGGTTTTAATTTTGCATGTTTACTCGAACAATGTTATTCGTTGTAAAATAATCGTTTCAACAGGATAACAAGTGACGCAAATGATTATTTTATGTTTGTGTTGTTTCGTCTATTTTAATCAAAGTTTGATACTTCTCGCAATTAGACATATTGTCTGTGAGTTAGCAACAACTATGATAATTTAATATTAATCATAATGCGGTTTTCGTTTAATTCGCAAAAAAGACAATATTTCGCGGTTTGAAAACTTTATTATTAATAACGTATCAAGGCCAAGTGCAACTACTATCTTTATGCTTTATGCAGATGTTTCAAATGAATTTGCCGAAACTTTTAAACACTTGCATCTGTATTAAAACAACACGACCTTTTGGTGCTCGAGGGTCATAAAAGATAATCTCAATAAATAGGTTATAAGGTCAGAATATATTGGCAGACTATTCGACAAAATCCACTAAATTACAAACACGTAGGTTTGTTGTAGTAGACTGAAAAATGTACAAGATTTTTACAAACAAGGCTCCAAAATGCAAATTTAATGTACGCCGTATGGGCGTGCTGCCCACTGCTTACACAATTTTTTTTAAATGGAGATTTTAAAGCTGTAGGTGTACAAATATCGGCTAAAAATACACACGTTTTTATTACCTCCCCGAAGAAATCCAAAAATTGCATCTTAAAACGCACGGCAACGCAGCCCGCGAATGCTGCGTTGCCGAGTCGCCAACAAATGCATAAAACTTTAACACGCTCCGTATGGTGCTTAAGGTTAAGAGGTACCTCGAGTTCGACAACGTTGCAAGCGTGTTCGCCGATTCGGTTTTGTTTTTGTTGGGTTTGGCAGCTCGTGCCCGGCTTGTTTTTCTTTTTAACCGAGAGAGCTCCTGAATTACCGACGGCCCAAGCCACAGCGAACGAGAAATGAGGGACAGAATAAAATGCTCAACACAGAAGTCGAAATGGTTATACAATGCAATTTCAGGTTTATTTTTAATTACAAATTTGTGTTAATTTCGCAAAATTTTTGTATTTTATATAGTCTCTAAAACAGCAATTTTTAAGCATAAACAATTTAAAAAACAATTTTAATTTCCCAATTGTCCCATACAAGTTTTCCAGAAAAGTGGTCATTATGTATGGACACGATTTTTTTTCTAATTTTGATTCAAGGATCTGATTTTTCTAACCGAAATACCTATGTAAATCAAATCCACAGATTAAATTCATAATAATAGTATGTTGTTTTAAATAATTTTATGGGAATCTGGTCGAACTGGATATATTTTAACTAAATTGCACTAAATTTAAAAAACAAAGATTTAATGCGTTCTGGTCAGTTGCTATGTATAACGATACTGAAAATTATATCTTAATTGGGACAAAAATATTGCAAATTTATTGGAACATTTTAGATGGAAACATAATTAAATTAAGCACAAATAAAATAGTTTTTATGCAGATATTTTTTGTGTGCAGATTGATTTTTGAAAGTCAGTCTTTCAGTGGAATTGACAATGTTCCTAGAACCACACGCTCATTTCATATTAGTATCTCCGTTGATGTGTGGGAGAGCGTACCCGCGACGCGACCAAGTCGTAGAAGATGAGGAGATGAAGCAGGGTGCGGAGGCACAGGAGAAGGGCGGGGAGGGGGGTGAGGTAGGACGCACACACATACACACACGGGTGTGGTGCATCCACGCTTACGGAGTCTTTGTCCGCCCGTAAGACCGGTCGCCCGCCCCCTCTCTCCCCCTTGGCCACGTCCTAATTGAATCCGATACCATTTTCACAATAAGAGACCCGATAATGGACGTAATTTATATACCGACGAAGCGTGTGTGTGTATGTGGCTCGAAACCGGTAGCCCAAATGCTTTTTTCCTTCCATACGATAATCAAGGATACTTGTTCGGCTTTTAATAAACTTTCAGTGCAATATGCCTTTTTCGATTTTACCAAATGTTATGCCCAACACGCACCAACCGGTTTTAAAATAACCTGTCTAAAACACGGGCTCTAGTAACACAATACTTTATTTCAAAAATAATCCTATCGATCAAAGGACTAAATACTACCACCATGCGTCCATCTTTTGTTTTAGTCACGGTTGACTATGGTAACGACCCGCATAAAGCGTCAAAGTATCATTTGTTATTTAAATTGGAGCTTTATTACACGAAACAAAGCGCTTTTTAGAATAAAGCGAGTTTTTTTCTCGGTTCTCAAATAAAGGTGTGGTGTTTGTGGAAGCGCGTATAGCTCTGGTGTGGTGGCCACTCTAGCAAGCGGACAACCGAGGTCGTTCACATCTGAGATGGCTTTGCCGCATCTAGCAAACAAAAGAACATCAACAACGAACGAGGAAGTATCGTTCGAAGCAATGGAAGACAGCTGCGAATCGCATTTTCTAACAGTAGTGTCGAGCGAAAGGAAAAAAATCACGTTTTACGAGGCTCTAAAAGCAAAACGAGCGTAAAATAATTGTAATTTACAATTAATGCACACATTGTTTGCTTATTATTGTCGCGTTATCGCGCAATGTAAATATTGTATCGGCCATGTTGTGTTTCAGATAATGATAATGAGCGATTGTGCACTGACTACATTAATTATCCAAAACATTAAAAACGAACTAATGACCACGCATCATCCAAAAATATTTCAGGGGTTTCATCAGGGTTAACGCTCTATACGTACAAGGCCATCGTGTTTTTATATTCTTTTTTTGAGCGTCCGTCTAGTGCGTGCACGCACTATTAAAAAACCCAACCCCTGGCCCTTGGTTTTCCTAGACAGACGAACGTCGACCCCAAGGAAGAACAAAAAAATAGACGAAGGGTTTTTAAATGATTCTCAAAGGGTTAAATTGACTTAATCTTCTGACCTGAATAATTATGGGTTAATGTACCTTTTTCATCGACAAAAAATGCATATCTTATGTCCAAGTTTGTTATTATTGTTAACCATAAAATAACTGTATATAATTTAAACATTCTTTGTATAAATCAGTTATTTAGAAAGTTTAATCCTTGATTTACTGCAATGTTAGTATGCTTAGGTACCTATTTGTTTCGTTAGTATGAACCTAAATGTATGCATCTTTTCGTCAGATTTGTGAATTTTATTTTTAGAAAAACCGTTGGCACCCTCAATATTTCACCCCCGTATAGGTACAGTTAATGTTTGTTTTCCATCTGTCTATTTTCTGACTGAGCCAAAATATAACAGCTGTCCCATCAAAATAGTAAAGGGGATGATATTAAACGAATATCGGTTACTATAATAATTATTGAAAAATGGTTAAATGAGCAAAAAAGATAGTGATCTACGTTTTGTTTACTAATCCCGGCTCCTTCGCCATTCTTGCAACTTTATTAACCTTTTTAAAAAATTATGACAAACGATTGTTATTTTGAATAAAAACAAATGTAAAACTTACCTTTTATGGACTTTTGGTGTGTAGCGTGTAATTTGCTTTTGCTGTCTTCAAATTTGCTTGGTTTGATTGCCTTTGGTCTGATTATTTCGGGTTGTGCATACAAATGTTCGATATTATTTGGGGAATGCGGTCTTTTACCTCTGTTGATTTTTCTGGGTGCACCTACTGCTTGCCAAATAAAATTACCATTTGGATTTAAGGTTTGCTCCTGCTTAAAATCAAAGTTCCATCTCTCTGACTCATTTACTGTTATTTTTTCAAGCTCTTCCTGAAGAAATTTTTGTGTGGCTTCGTGGTCCACCTCGAATAAGGCTCTTTTGGCTTTTTGTATCCCTGGACGGCAAAACATTTTCCTGTCCACGTTCCTACACAGTGGAAAACCGATGGGCTTGTAAACGCTGGTTGTCATCGTGAGTTTTTTAGGTTATAAACACTTGTACTAACACTTAACCCAATTGCCGCACAAACGTCACAGTACTTCAATTGTTTTTCAAGTAATCCGTTTTTATTGTCGCGAATAAACGTAAGTTTGATAAATGTCACTAAATAACAGGCTAAACAGCAAAGGCACTACTAACGCCACTAAATGCGCATACGTAACTGACAAGAGTCGCTCGGTTTACGGCGTGGTCACGTGGTCTGACGAGGGAACGTCCATTCTCTGTTTACAAGGGGCGGCCGCGCGAATTTAAAACCGTCCAATTGGAAATTTTTTTGAATTCAAAAGCCAATTTAATAACTAATTTAATGTGTTAGCCGGCAGATAGCAATGTAATTTTGTCTTATTGATTATAAATTACAATATTTTGCTGGAATTAAGGAAACATACTTGCTTTGAGTCTTTAAATCTTAGATTTTGTCGAAAGCGTCTGTGCACGCTTGTTGGCTTTTTTAATCATGGGGACGCTTACCTAAAAATACATAAATATATTATAAGTATATATACCTGGTTAAGTATTATTTTAAAAGGTAAGTATATGTATTTGTTAAAATAATATTTGTAGGTTTAAAAATGTTACTTACTACACTGTCAATACAATGAAGCGCCAATTGTATTTAATTTATAATAACTAGACAATATTAAAACCAACCATATTGCTCAGTTTAATTATTACCTACCTAGGTAGGTAATAATTAAACTGACAATTAGCTAATTGTCATGACGGTTCCTAAACGCAGTCAAGGTTTAAAACGCCTTAAAACTGCAATTTCTTTATCGCATTTTAAATTAAAAAGTGAAAGTAAGTAATAAATTAACGATCCTAACGACCTACCTAAACTTTAATAAACGCGTATACCCACTAATCAAAAATTAGATCAAATAATTTTGACAGACGAACCAACGAACAAAACAAGTGAAATTTTGACAGAATCATTTGACAGTTGTATCTGTCAAAATTAGTATATTATTATCTGATTTAAAACTTCAAGTTGTTTGCTGCCATTCCCACATAGTTTTTCTATGGATTCCCACAAGATCAAAACTAAAGTTTTGACGTGTAGTTCCTCGTTTCAGATGTCACGTGTAAGATTCGGTGCATACGTGATTTGCATCCGTTTAAAGCAGGAAATTCTCACCCCCTGAATAGCGAATTTTCCCCCTTTTCGAGTGCAGGAAACATCCATCAGGAGACGCAGGTTTATAAAACAAACGACATACAAACTTTTTGGATGTGATTTTATGCAAGAATTTTTACTTATTTCCGGTAAGTGCAACATTTTTTGATGCAGCGTACAGAATGTGGACAAAAGTGAATAAAAAGCGGATACCTAATGATTGTTTTTATGATACCATCATTTGTACGTTTTTTACGATCATTTGTATTAATCTTCGTAATTTATACCAAGCGATAGCTTATAAAAAGTCTAGACGCCTCAATATAAGTCTATTGTTATTAATGCCCACATTGTTGAGTACAATCATTTAAATTGGCCATCAATGAGATTTAAAAATTATATCATTCCCTATTATTATACAACAGATTTATTTTTTTGTTTTAATTCAACGTAAATGTACAGGGCAATTCAAAACTATACGTTAGCCACAAACTCCCAGCAACAAACTTGGCATGTTTTAACATAAACCCTCAAAACTGTTTTGTAAATTTTTAGAAGCAAAAGTACCTACCTACCCATGATACAACCATGTATCATGTACCTACCTACGGAAAAATTAAAAAAAGTACCTACATTATACCACAATCCACACAACATTGTGGATTATACTATTGATTGGTTTATTGATTGATCACAGTGCGAGGCAATTAATAAGCTTTTGCCGCCGTGTTTTATGTAGGTATTCATAAAACACGGCGGCAAAAGCTTATACCTTAGTACCTATAGGTACTATTTTGTTTTCAAGCATTTAATTATAGTAGGTAGGTATATTAAAGAACTAATGTCATAAGACGTCATTTTGTCGCACGAGGACAATTTTTATGGACGAGTGCGTCAAAAGGTCTTATAACATGAGTTCTTTATGCTATTTTATCTATTTTGCAAAAATTCTATAAAACAAATAATTTTATCTATTTTGGTTTCATAATGACTTCATTATAACACCGCTTTTGGTTCTTTAATGAGGTACTTTATTCCACCCAAAATTTTGATTTTATAGGTTGGCTACTGGTAAAATACAATTTTGAATACCTATAGGTTATAATATTTTTATGATTTGTTTTCTAGTACTTACGAGACTTTTCGTGCAATAAATTTTGTTTAACACCAAAGAAAATCCTTTTTTCTTCTTTATAGCCGCTTATTGTAAATACTTATTGTAAATTAACGACGCCATAGCGAAAGAATGTGATAATGTTTGAAAGGTTAATGACCCTTCAAACTTCAAAATGTGATACCAACTATGTAAAGTAAAATTCCACCAAATTAAATATAAGGTATAAAATTAATTTGTTTTATGAAATGTTTGCAAAATAGATAAAATAGCATAAAGAACTCATGTCATAAGACCTTTTGTCGCACTTGTCCATTATAAAACTCGCTCCTTCGTCGCTCGTTTTATAAATTGCGACAAAATGACGTCTTATGACATTAGTTCTTTAATATACTATTATACCTACCTTAAATTTAATTTGGTCGAATTTGTTTTTTAGATAGTTGGTATCACAGTCATTGGTTTGACAGTTAATGTCAAAATCGATGCGCCATGTCGTCCTTAATTTACTTATTTATAAATACAATAAGCGGCTGTTAATGTTAAAGAAGAAAAAAAGGGTTTTTTTGGTGTTAAACAAAATGTATTGCCAGAAAAGTCTCGTAAGTACTAGAAAAATCATAAAAATATTATAATATATTTAATATATATTGCAAAATATTATGCTGTTTAAAGTAGCCAACCTAAAAAATCAAAATTTCGGGTGGGATAAAGTATCTCATTACAGCGCCGAAAGCGGTGTTATAATAAAGTCATTATGAACGCAAAATAAATAAATAAAAAAAAATTATAATTATATTAAGAAATAAGAAATAAGAAATAAGAAATAAGAAATAAGAAATAAGAAATAAGAAATAAGAAATAAGAAATAAGAAATAGGAAATAGGAAATAGGAAATAGGAAATAGGAAATAGGAAATAGGAAATAGGAAATAGGAAATAGGAAATAGGAAATAGGAAATAGGAAATAGGAAATAGGAAATAGGAAATAGGAAATAGGAAATAGGAAATAGGAAATAGGAAATAGGAAATAGGAAATAGGAAATAGGAAATAGGAAATAGGAAATAGGAAATAGGAAATAAGAAATAAGAAATAAGAAATAGGAAATAGGAAATAAGAAATAAGAAATAAGAAATAATAAATAAGAAATAAGAAATAAGATCGCGATTGATCGTTCATGCTGATAACATAAGAAATAAAAAATGTTGTCACACAATTATATTTTATTATAGTGGATTATATTGGCTATAAACGTAAACAATCGACAGCGACACTCAACGCGATTTCCAACACCATGGCTCCATGGCCAGCACATTAAACCCAGATAAAACCCATCAAAATAATTCACAGACCCATTTTGGTCCTTTGCGCAGTTTTATACGCAAGAATAAGAACCAAAGTTAAAATTTGTTAATCTTTATTCTTATTTCTTATTTCTTATTCCTTATTTTCATGAGCATGAACGCAACCATTACTTTACACAGTTTTAACTTTTTATCTTATTTCTTATTTTAGTGAGCATGAATGCGCCTTTATTGTTTTCTGTTATTTTTAAAATGGAGATAAATACCTTAGATTATATAATTACTTGTGTTAATTTAAATAAGTTAACATATTTAATGTGCGAAAATAGATTAAACGCTTTGGCTATGTGTTCCATTGATAGAAAATTGTTGGCTACTGAAAATTTTAATGAACTTGTCATTGAGCACTTTGCGCACGTAAAAGAAAGGCGAATTGACTTTATCTATCTACAAATAAACTAAAGTATACTTGTTTAAAAAATGTTAGATTAAAGTATACTTGTTTAAAAAATGTTAGATTAAGAAAAATGTTAGATTAAGAAAAATGTTAGATTAAGAAACTGTTACCAGGGCCGAGCCTAGGGTATCTGCCGCCCGGGTGCAAGAATTAAATATGCCGCCCCCATTAATGTTAAAAATTAGGTTGTCGGTAAGGAAGGAGTTCATAATTTATCATTCTCAATAAACATATACCTAACAAATTTTATACTAAAATAACAAAGTATTTATTAACAAATACATAAAAGAATAAAATAAAAATACATTCAGGAAAAAAAAACAAAAATAATTAAACTAAACTAAAAAACTAAAATCTACTTTTCTCGCTTTTTTAATAGCAAATTCCCTAATCAAGTCGCCTACATCCAAGTTGTTAGAAATATCTTCTTCAATACTTATAATTGCTAAATTTGAAAGCCTGAATTGACTCATATTGGATCTTAAATGGGTCTTAATTAGTTTTAATTTCGAAAATGACCGCTCTCCATGGGCAACAGTAACTGGCATCGTCAAAAATATTCTTAAAGCTACAAATAAATTCGGAAAGATGCCTTTTAAATCATTAACTAGTTTTTAACTTAAACGCATTAAAATACAAAAGAAACTATTATGTTTGCATCCTATTTGCCTCGCGTTAATAGAAAAACTAAAAATTGCTGAAATACGCAGCCGTCAAATCGGAAGAAATTATGCTTTAACTTAACAGTTCAGCTTGTAAACAATATCACGTGGTACACAGCGCGCGATTTGATTGGTTTCCCGTAAGCCCGCTTCCGTAAAAGTTTTTTGCATATTGCAAGGTGGCTTTTTTATTCTTGATAATATGATACAATTTTTTTGATGATATTTTGCCGCCCTGTGTTAGTGCCGCCCGGGTGCTATGCACCCCTTGCACCCCCGGCACAGCTCGGCCCTGACTGTTACCTACCTACCTAAAACATTTTGTTTTCAACTAGTTTATGGGTCTCACATCTTACATACATCGGTAAGTTTATTATCCAATTTTTGCATGTATATAAATTTCTGTCCCCCCAATTTAATGTGTCACCAGCCGCCACTGATCAATTTGAAACTTAAAATTTTGACATTGTATGAAATGACACGTCTGATGATATAATTTGTTTTTTTCTAAGCCCGCTAGTTTTTTAGATATCAAGGCAACTTTGATTTTTCTTATGGGCGCCATATTTGATTTTTTCATTAAA